ACTACAGACTGCAGCAGGGACCTGTTGAAGATGTCTGTGAACACCTCTGCCAGCTGAACTGCACACACCCTGAGAACACGGCCAGGGATGCCATCAGGTCCAGGAGCCTTGTGTGGGTTAACCCTTTTAAAGGATTTACACACATCTGCCCTGTTTAAAACAAAAGGGCAGTGTAGCTCCTGGTCCCTCTGTACCTCCACAGCCTGGCTGCTCTCAAAGCGTGCAAAAAACCTGTTTAGCTCATCTGGGAGAGATGCGCACGCAGACACTCCCGCAGCACCCCCCGCTGCTCCTTTGTAGTCAGTCATTGTCCTTAGTCCCGCCCACATATTCCTAGTGTTACAGCCTTTGAAGTCAGATTCCACCTTGTCTTTGTACTGTCTCTTTGCATTTTGAATTGCTCTCCGGAGATCATACCTAGACTTCCTGTACTCCTCCAAATCTCCCGCTGTGTGCGCGAGAGTGCGCGCTTTCAGTTTGCCGCGCACCTCACCGTTTACCCAGGGCTTTTGATTTGGGAATGTCCGTACAGAAACCTTCGGTGCCACGTCATCGATGCATTTCCCAATGTAGCAGATGACAGTGTCCGTGTGTGTGTTGATGTTATTGTCCTCAAACACACTCCACTCCGTAGATGCAAAGCAATCCTGCAGTGCCTCATCTGACTCCTCGCTCCATCGTTGTACTGTCCTTGTTATCGGTCTGTCCCTTTTAAGTTTCTGCTTGTACGCAGGCAACAACAGTAGTGAGATATGGTCTGATTTGCCGAAGGGAGGGCGAGGGAGAGCCTTATATCCATTCCGGAAAGGGGAATAAACATGGTCCAGTATGTTTCCCCCGCGCGTCGGGAAGTTGATGTGTTGGTAATATTTTGGCAAAACCTTCTTCATGTTGGCGGTGTTGAAATCTCCGGCCACAACGAACGCCGCATCTGGCCGTGAAGTCTCGGTTTTATCAATAAACCCAAACAGCTGATCGAGTGCCGTGTTGTTGTCGGCGAGTGGCTGCGGCGGGATATACACTGCTGTTATCACAACAGATGTGAATTCCCTCGGCAGATGGAAGGCCCGACATGAGATCATGAGGTGCTCTAGCTGTGCGGAACAGTCCGAAGAAATAACCTTCACATCTGAGCACCAGTTGTTGTTAGTCATTACACACACACCGCCTCCCTTACTTTTCCCCGAGTTAGCAGTCCGGTCCTGACGAAAAATAGAGAATCCGTCAGGGACAATAGCGGAGTCCGGGATAGCGGGGTTGAGCCAAGTCTCAGTGAGAATTAACACGTTACAGTTCTTAATGTCCCGTTGAAAAGCAATCCGGCTTCTGAGTTCATCTAGCTTATTTTCAATGGATTGAACATTAGCCAGAAGAATACTCGGAAGAGGGGGTCGATTCTCACGTTTCCTCAATCTGACCAGCAACCCGGCCCGGGACCCCCGCTTTGTCTTCTTCTTGCGTCTCTCAGGTAGAACAGCAACAGGTAGCCATGGTGAATCTCCATTGTTTATCGGAGGGTTATTATTGTCCACGAAGTTTCGCAATTGGAAAAGTTCCTCTCTGCTATATTGTATGGCAGAGTAGGTGCGGTCGGCTAGCATGTTGCGAACCATGTTAAAAGTAAAACGGCAAAAGTAAAAGAAATATGTACAAAATACGAAAATGGGCAAAGTTGGAGAGGAGCACGAAGACGATTAGTGTCACAAAACAACGCTTTATTTCTTCCTCTTACCTTTCACAATAAAAGCACAACACATAGACTGTTAAACATTTCATCAAACGTCTCTGAGCAGTTTCACCTTCCCCCCCTGCTGTGTGAGCCCCCCACCCTGCTGAAGGTGTTTCCTACACACACACTCACACACAGAGATACACACACACAGAGACAGAGATACACACACAGACACACACACTCACACACAGAGATACACACACACACACACACACTCACACACAGAGACAGAGATACACACACAGACACACACAGAGATACACACACAGAGATACACACACACACACACACACACTCACACACAGAGATACACACACACAGAGACAGAGATACACACACAGACACACACAGAGATACACACACAGAGACAGAGATACACACACAGACACACACACACACACACACACACACACACACACACACACACACACACACACACAGAGATACACACACACACACACACACACAGAGATACACACACACACACACACACACAGAGATACACACACACACACACACACACACACAGAGATACACACACACACACACACACAGAGATACACACACACACCAGAGATACACACACACACACACACACACAGAGCGATACCACACACACACACACACACACACACAGAGATACACACACACACACACACACACACTCACACACAGAGATACACACACACAGAGACAGAGATACACACACACACACACACACACACACACACCACACAGATACACACACACACACACACACACACAGAGATACACACACACACACACACACACACACACACACAGAGATACACACACTCACACACACACACACACACAGAGATACACACACACACACACACAGAGATACACACACACACACACACAGAGATACACACACACACACAGAGATACACACACACACACACACACACACAACACACAGAGATACACACACACACACACACACACACAGAGATACACACACACACACAACACACACACACACACAGAGATACACACACACACACACACACACACACACACACACACACACACACACACACACACACACACACACACACAGACACTCAAACACCTTAAAGTCAGCATTCCTGGATATAAGTCATGTTTAGGGGAATGAGTTTTTCACCATAAAATGCAGATAAAGAGGGGCTTGTGGTTCCTGAGGTCTGAAGCTAATACATCATTAAAGCTTTGGGGGGGGGGGGGGGGGTCAGTCTGCCTGGAAGGCGGTGTTGATGGAGCCGTGGTCCGGGGGGCGCAGGGGCAGGTGGGGCAGGTGGGGGCAGCTCATCCTCCGGGATCTGGCCAGGACTCTGTGCAAGAGGCTGGGGGAGGACTGCCCCCCCCCCCTCGGCCCCCCCCCCCTCAGGCTTCAGGAGGATCTTCTTCAGCTGCTTCGGGGTGCCGTGGCCGCTGTTGTATAGAACAGAGACAACAGAGAGAGAATGTTTGAGATGTGCAAGAAAATACAAATAACATGGAAATAGTGCAAGAAGAGTCTGTATACAAGTACATGGAATGATATAGTTGTGGCTGTAGTTACCTGCTGCAGCCACAGGGGGGCGTCCTGACCGCCGGCACAGAGCCCCTCCTCAGCAGAGGGGGCGTGGCTCTGCAGGAAGCCCCGCCCACCTGCAGAACAGAGTACACCTGCTATAGCACACTTCCTTCACAATAAAAGCCTTGTTATTTATTCCTCTGTCCCGCAGCGCATACATGTGCATGATTAAAACAGCAGTTACCTGAAGCTCCTCCCACTAGAGACCCCCAGGTGTGTTACCTGAAGCTCCTCCCACTAGAGACCCCCAGGTGTGTTACCTGAAGCTCCTCCCACTAGAGACCCCCAGATGTGTTACCTGAAGCTCCTCCCACTAGAGACCCCCAGGTGTGGTTACCTGAAGCTCCTCCCACTAGAGACCCCCAGGTGTGGTTACCTGAAGCTCCTCCCACTAGAGACCCCCAGGTGTGTTACCTGAAGCTCCTCCCACTAGAGACCCCCAGATGTGTTACCTGAAGCTCCTCCCACTAGAGACCCCCAGGTGTGGTTACCTGAAGCTCCTCCCACTAGAGACCCCCAGGTGTGGTTACCTAAAGCTCCTCCCACTAGAGACCCCCCAGGTGTGTTACCTGAAGCTCCTCCCACTAGAGACCCCCAGGTGTGGTTACCTGAAGCTCCTCCCACTAGAGACCCCCCAGGTGTGGTTACCTGAAGCTCCTCCCACTAGAGACCCCCAGGTGTGTTACCTGAAGCTCCTCCCACTAGAGACCCCCAGGTGTGGTTACATGAAGCTCCTCCCACTAGAGACCCCCAGGTGTGTTACCTAAAGCTCCTCCCACAAGAGACCCCCAGGTGTGGTTACATGAAGCTCCTCCCACTAGAGACCCCCAGGTGTGGTTACATGAAGCTCCTCCCACTAGAGACCCCCAGGTGTGGTTACATGAAGCTCCTCCCACTAGAGACCCCCAGGTGTGGTTACATGAAGCTCCTCCCACTAGAGACCCCCAGGTGTGGTTACCTAAAGCTCCTCCCACTAGAGACCCCCCAGGTGTGGTTACCTGAAGCTCCTCCCACTAGAGACCCCCAGGTGTGGTTACCTGAAGCTCCTCCCACTAGAGACCCCCAGGTGTGGTTACATGAAGCTCCTCCCACTAGAGACCCCCCAGGTGTGGTTACCTGAAGCTCCTCCCACTAGAGACCCCCAGGTGTGGTTACCTGAAGCTCCTCCCACTAGAGACCCCCAGGTGTGTTACCTAAAGCTCCTCCCACTAGAGACCCCCCAGGTGTGTTACCTAAAGCTCCTCCCACTAGAGACCCCCAGGTGTGTTACCTGAAGCTCCTCCCACCAGAGACCCCCAGGTGTGTTACCTGAAGCTCCTCCCACTAGAGACCCCCAGGTGTGTTACCTAAAGCTCCTCCCACTAGAGACCCCCCAGGTGTGTTACCTGAAGCTCCTCCCACAAGAGACCCCCAGGTGTGGTTAACTGAAGCTCTTCCCACTAGAGACCCTCCGGGTGTGTTACCTGAAGCTCCTCCCACTAGAGACCCCCCAGGTGTGTTACCTGAAGCTCCTCCCACAAGAGACCCCCAGGTGTGGTTAACTGAAGCTCTTCCCACTAGAGACCCTCCGGGTGTGTTACCTGAAGCTCCTCCCACTAGAGACCCCCAGGTGTGTTACCTGCAGCGGCTGCACGCAGGCGGGGGGGAAGTACCCCTCCTGTCCGTCAGAGCGTCTTCCGAAGCAGCTGTTCTCCTCTCTGAACAGAACCAGAACCTGGTCCCCTCGCCTCAGGTCCAGATCTCTCTGGAGACCAGCCCTGTGATCAGAGACCACCACCATCACCTGCCAATCACAGAGCAGCACCTCAGCCAATCACAGAGCACCATCACCTGCCAATCACAGAGCACCAGCACCTGCCAATCACAGAGCACCATCTCAGCCTATCACAGAGCACACACACACACACACACACACACACACACACACACAGCAGCTCTGATATCATCACGCCGGCCAATCACAGAGCTGCTGCTAATTGGTTAATTGAAGGAGCAGCGTGTCAACTTTAATCTGCTGAGAATAGCTGCTCAGATCAGCAGGCTGCAAATACACAGTGATGCAACACACACACACACACACACACACACACACACACACACACACACACACACACACACACACACACACACACACACACACACACACACACACACACACACACACACACACACTCCTTAAAGTCATAATTCCTGGATAAGTCATGTTCAGGGTTTCTTAATTTTTCACAATAAAACACAGATAAAGGGTTTAGTAAAGATGAAATGTTGAGGTTACCTTTTCTGCCTCCACATGTCTGCTCCTCGCTCTGCACACTGACACACACACACACACACACACACACACACACACACACACACACACACACACACACACACACACACACACACACAGTGAGTTTAATGATATATAATGTACTAATCATTGATTCATTCAGAAACACTGAGGAACTCCCTGCACTCGGACACGTTCATAAAGACACACTAACAGTGACATCATGTGTTTCATATCTGTTACAAAATACAGTCTGTTTTGTTATTTGTTATAAACTGAATATCCCTCTCTTTTATATTCCTGAGAGCATCTGGATGTATTCACCTTCTCACTTCAAACTGATTCTCTAACTCAGTGCTTCTCAAACTTTCTTCAGTAATGTCCCCCCTTTGAAACAGCCAGGCACCCCCTGACCGACCCCGAACATGTTTGAAAGCCTATATAAATCATTACAATATAGTGATGTTCCATCAGTGTGAGATTTATTAACTCCTTCATGAATTACAACAAACTAAGGATATTTTCATCTTTATGCATGAGACTGTTTTTAAAACAGATTTTTAAGTAATATATGTTGAACAAACCAATGAACAAAATGATATATTATGCAAAAGCTATAAAATACAATACACACATATTATAATAAAATCCACTGTGGTGCCTGATGTGCAACTATACCATCCGAAACCCCATGCATATACAAGAAAACAGCATTTCATTAGCAGTCTCTAATGTAGTGACCACAATGCATGAAAGGGTTTAAAAAAACAACGTTGTAACTGAAAAAATTTGCAATTATAACAAACTATGTAATAACACTGCACTGACACTATTTAGGAGTTTCAGCGATCGTGTACGGCTTTTTGGCTTTAGTGATGACCAGTGACACCGCGATGCCTCCAGTGCTTTAGTGATGACCAGTGACACCGCGATGCCTCCAGTGCTTTAGTGATGACCAGTGACACCGCATACGATGCCTCCAGTGCTTTAGTGATGACCAGTGACACCGCGATGCCTCCAGTGCTTTAGTGATGACCAGTGACACCGCATACGATGCCTCCAGTGCTTTAGTGATGACCAGTGACACCGCATACGATGCCTCCAGTGCTTTAGTGATGACCAGTGACACCGCATACGATGCCTCCAGTGCTTTAGTGATGACCAGTGACACCGCATACGATGCCTCCAGTGCTTTAGTGATGACCAGTGACACCGCATACGATGCCTCCAGTGCTTTAGTGATGACCAGTGACACCGCATACGATGCCTCCAGTGCTTTAGTGATGACCAGTGACACCGCATACGATGCCTCCAGTGCTTTAGTGATGACCAGTGACACCGCATACGATGCCTCCAGTGCTTTGGCTGATGACCAGTGACACCGCGATGCCTCCAGTGCTTTGGCTGATGACCAGTGACACCGCGATGCCTCCAGTGCTTTAGTGATGACCAGTGACACCGCATACGATGCCTCCAGTGCTTTAGTGATGACCAGTGACACCGCATACGATGCCTCCAGTGCTTTAGTGATGACCAGTGACACCGCGATGCCTCCAGTGCTTTGGCTGATGACCAGTGACACCGCAATGCCTCCAGTGCTTTAGTGATGAGCAGTGATGAGCAATGACACCGCGATGCCTCCAGTGCTTTAGTGATGAGCAGTGACACCGCGATGCCTCCAGTGCTTTAGTGATGAGCAGTGACACCGCGATGCCTCCAGTGCTTTAGTGATGACCAGTGACACCGCGATGCCTCCAGTGCTTTAGTGATGAGCAGTGACACCGCGATGCCTCCAGTGCTTTAGTGATGAGCAGTGACACCGCGATGCCTCCAGTGCTTTAGTGATGAGCAGTGACACCGCAATGCCTCCAGTGCTTTAGTGATGACCAGTGACACCGCGATGCCTCCAGTGCTTTAGTGATGACCAGTGACACCGCGATGCCTCCAGTGCATTAGTGATGACCAGTGACACCGCGATGCCTCCAGTGCTTTAGTGATGACCAGTGACACCGCGATGCCTCCAGTGCTTTAGTGATGACCAGTGACACCGCGATGCCTCCAATGCTTTAGTGATGAGCAGTGACACCGCGATGCCTCCAGTGCATTAGTGATGACCAGTGACACCGCGATGCCTCCAGTGCTTTAGTGATGACCAGTGACACCGCGATGCCTCCAATGCTTTAGTGATGACCAGTGACACCGCGATGCCTCCAGTGCTTTAGTGATGAGCAGTGACACCGCGATGCCTCCAGTGCATTAGTGATGACCAGTGACACCGCGATGCCTCCAGTGCTTTAGTGATGACCAGTGACACCCCGATGCCTCCAATGCTTTAGTGATGACCAGTGACACCGCGATGCCTCCAGTGCTTTAGTGATGAGCAGTGACACCGCAATGCCTCCAGTGCATTAGTGATGACCAGTGACACCGCGATGCCTCCAGTGCTTTAGTGATGAGCAGTGACACCGCGATGCCTCCAGTGCATTAGTGATGACCAGTGACACCGCGATGCCTCCAGTGCTTTAGTGGTGACCAGTGACACCGCAATGCCTCCAGTGCTTTAGTGGTGACCAGTGACACCGCGATGCCTCCAGTGCTTTAGTGGTGACCAGTGACACCGCGATGCCTCCAGTGCTTTAGTGGTGACCAGTGACACCGCAATGCCTCCAGTGCTTTAGTGATGAGCAGTGACACCGCGATGCCTCCAATGCTTTAGTGATGACCAGTGACACCGCGATGCCTCCAGTGCTTTAGTGGTGACCAGTGACACCGCAATGCCTCCAATGCTTTAGTGATGACCAGTGACACCGCGATGCCTCCAGTGCTTTAGTGGTGACCAGTGACACCGCAATGCCTCCAGTGCTTTAGTGGTGACCAGTGACACCGCAATGCCTCCAGTGCTTTAGTGATGAGCAGTGACACCGCAATGCCTCCAGTGCTTTAGTGGTGACCAGTGACACCGCAATGCCTCCAGTGCTTTAGTGATGAGCAGTGACACCGCGATGCCTCCAGTGCTTTAGTGATGAGCAGTGACACCGCGATGCCTCCAGTGCTTTAGTGATGACCAGTGACACCGCGATGCCTCCAATGCTTTAGTGATGACCAGTGACACCGCGATGCCTCCAGTGCTTTAGTGGTGACCAGTGACACCGCAATGCCTCCAGTGCTTTAGTGGTGACCAGTGACACCGCAATGCCTCCAGTGCTTTAGTGATGAGCAGTGACACCGCGATGCCTCCAGTGCTTTAGTGATGAGCAGTGACACCGCGATGCCTCCAATGCTTTAGTGATGACCAGTGACACCGCGATGCCTCCAGTGCTTTAGTGGTGACCAGTGACACCGCAATGCCTCCAGTGCTTTAGTGATGACCAGTGACACCGCGATGCCTCCAGTGCTTTAGTGATGAGCAGTGACACCGCGATGCCTCCAGTGCTTTAGTGGTGACCAGTGACACCGCGATGCCTCCAATGCTTTAGTGATGAGCAGTGACACCGCGATGCCTCCAGTGCTTTAGTGGTGACCAGTGACACCGCGATGCCTCCAGTGCTTTAGTGGTGACCAGTGACACCGCGATGCCTCCAGTGCTTTAGTGGTGACCAGTGACACCGCAATGCCTCCAGTGCTTTAGTGATGACCAGTGACACCGCAATGCCTCCAGTGCTTTAGTGATGAGCAGTGATGAGCAGTGACACCGCGATGCCTCCAGTGCTTTAGTGGTGACCAGTGACACCGCGATGCCTCCAGTGCTTTAGTGGTGACCAGTGACACCGCGATGCCTCCAGTGCTTTAGTGGTGACCAGTGACACCGCAATGCCTCCAGTGCTTTGGCTGATGTTGTGGAGGCGTTTCGCATCATCTCTTGCGAGGATCTGTACTGAGCAAGTTTTCTCTTGAAAAACTCCGGTGGCTTACCAACATGACACAGGTGTTTGGTGCTGAGATGTCTCTGGAGGTGCGCTGGTTTCATCGAGCTGTTGGCTAGTTTCTCCCCACAGAAAAAACCCAATGCCTGGGGCGGGTTGCCGTTTGTTGACGTGAATCCATCAAAGCATACGCCTCCTGATATTGACGGCATTTTGTTGGCTCAATTTTGGCTCTCTTTTTTTCTCCGTTGTCCACGTTCCCTGCTGTAGTGCTGCTACATTTTAACCGCGATTCCATTTCAATGTCTATTTGTTATAATATAATATTGCAACTGGCTTTCCGCTCAGCGTGGTTCCGGGCTAGAGCGGAGCCGCGGAACCGGTTCTTAGCTGGCCCCACTCGGCTGCCCGGCAAGAACCAATACTTCACGCTGAGCAATAACAGTTCATGGCGAGTACAACAAATACAAGTTGTAACAAGCAGTAGCGCTGAGCAAAGTGACCAGAACGTGACCGCACACTTGTAAAAACAGAGAAGAACCAGTTAAGCACCAAAAAAGCACTAGAACGGATCTTGAACCCTTGGTGGTTCTTGGAATATTTTATATAAAATTGTGTTTTCTATTTAACTTATTGTACTATGATTATTTTTGTAATCATGCATGGTATTTTTTTAATTAACCTTTTAATAGATTTTTATCTCACGTACCCCCTGCAGTACCCCAACGTACCCCCAGGGGGCCGCGTACCCCCATTTGAGAATCACTGCTCTACAGGACAGTGTCTCTGGAGAGCGTCTCATATCTGTCCGTCTGAAGAAGTTCTTCTTAGAAATACAAGATCAAACTCTGGAAGAACTCTGAGCAGATTATTCTCAGTTCATATTTCATCATTTCTACTTTTTTAACTAACTTTTAACCCGTTTATCTTTTTATTTGAACAACATGTGTACTTCAGAGTTTCGTCCTCGGGTCTTTTTAACTTTCTGAATCTGCACATACAGAACACTAGAAGCTGAGAAACTGAAGGATCGTTTCTGAGGTAAAGAAATAACATTGTTCGTGTCCCTGAACGCATCATCGTCCTGTTCATGAGACACTCTTTGAATAACAACTGTCTTTCTCCACAGATTAATGAATAACATCCAGACATAAAGAACAACTGGGACAGTGTGTGTGTGTGTGTGTGTACCCACCTTGCGGGGAGAACACGGTGGTATAAACTTCAAACTGTTGGTCGCTCTGTCTGTAGATCTGCTGCATGCTGCTCTCTCACACACTCACACACTCCGTCTGCACTTATATACCTGCCGTCAGTAATCCTACACACACACACACAATGTGTCCTGTTTTAAATACAGACAGTAACTGCTGCAGGGGCAACAGGTAGGTTCAGGTGTGTGTGTGTGTGTGTGTGTGTGATTCCTAGAAGAGCCTCTCGTTGTTTTAATCTGGTTTATTCTGATCTGAGAACAGTCGTTATATAAACCTGATCTGATGTGTTTAACTGGTTTAACCCTTAGAGCACACACACACACACACACACACACACACAGTTGTGTACAAGCAAGTTTTATTTCAGATTAGTGTAATATATAAAATCGAGTGTAATAAAATGAAGAGGTAGAGAAACAGCTCCATCTAGTGGCCGCGAGAGGAACTGCAGCACAGACCTGAGGTCAGTTCAACATTATAAGACCTCAGAAGATCACATGATTTAAAACGCCCTCAGAAGATCACATGATTTAAAACGTCCTCAGAAGATCACATGATTTAAAACGTCCTCAGAAGATCACATGATTTAAAACGCCCTCAGAAGATCACATGATTTAAAACGCCCTCAGAAGATCACATGATTTAAAACGTCCTCAGAAGATCACATGATTTAAAACGCCCTCAGAAGATCACATGATTTAAAACGCCCTCAGAAGATCACATGATTTAAAACGCCCTCACAGCTGAATGATCTTTAAAACTTCAGATTGTAATGTTTGAATCCGTTGTGTCTCAGTAGAGCTTCATGGAGGCGAGGAACATCTCGCTCAGATCCTCCTCGCTGTGTTCCCGCGGCGACAGCTTGGTCACGCGCTCCTGAAACACACACACGTCATGACTCTGCTGAAACACACACACGTCATGACTCTGCTGCAGTGGCGAGCCGTGAGCTTTATACCTAGGCCCTTTGACCCCCACCCCTTCCCTCGAAAAAAGAAAAAAAAAAGAGTTATTACGTCACAGCGTATACTTCAGCGGAATATCAAAACAACGGCCCAGGGTGCACAACGCATCAATGACAGCGACCCTCTACCACACAAAACAACACCTGGGAACCCCATTTGTGTTCTTTGACATTGAAAATGATATTGCATTGTGTTTGTTACTTTCGTTGCAGTTGTATGTCTTAAGTGTAATTTGGCATGCTTTTATTTTGAAGGCGAGTTCACGCTGTTGACAGGAAGTTGTTGTTGCTATGGAAACAAGAAAAGTTTCACAGCGGGCGGAACTCGTCATAAAGTCCGCGATAATAAAACCCACCCATTTAGAGGGAAGATATGATTGGTCAATTGTACTGTCATTTGACATTACTCTCTCGTTCAGTTACTATAGCAACCCTCTGTGAATCGCAGAGAGGTCCGCTATAGAGTGGCGAAGTCACGCTCACTTACTTCCGGGGTATGGGACCTTATTTCGGAAAAATTATGCATTGAAGTCAATGGGGAGAGAAAACTTATCTTTCGATCCCGTTTGAATTGTGCCATGAATTACACATATGATGTTTGTCAATCTTAAAAAATCATTTCCATGTCAAAAAAGTCACAGTTTGTCGTAAAACTGTTGAAATATAAGACTATGAAAAATACGGAACTAGAAAGACTACAAATCCCAGAGTCACGTAAGTGATGTCACAATTGAGACACTACGATATACGTATAATACCGTATATATACGATCAGCGCCATATAGATAGAATCTATCTATATGGCGCTGTCTAAGATAAGATAACTTTGTGCCTGTGTGCTTAGTACCAGGTTGTTATCATACCAGCAATGGGTCTTGCTCGTTCTTTCGCTTCCCGTCTGATGAAAGAGGAGTGTGTGGATCAAGTTAGCTACCTAGCTAGTAGCTAGCACGTTAGTTAGCATTACAGCCATGTCATTTTTATTAGCCTTAACATGAAGTAACATGAAGTAACCCAAAATGTTAAACAGTACGAGTAGTAGTCATATTTCGTGAACCCTTTGAAGAGTACTGTCACCGGTGTGATCATTCTATAATACACACTTTAAGACCGGGGGAGAAATGCTAACGCTAACGTTAGCATCGGCGATCTTCTCTACTTCATGCTATCTGCACAAATGGTTGACATTAAACATTAAAACGACCAGGCAGTTCAGAGAGAATCAAAGGAAGGCAGGCAGGCAGCTTTGCATGACATTCTTCAGGACGTGTTTCATTGTGGTGATAGTGAGGGTGAGGGTCAGGGTGAGAGGGTGATAGTGAGGGTAGCCAATCGTTTGTTGACAAGACAGTAGTGACGGCCATCTTGGTGACGTGTGTTGTGTTGACCAGAGATGTAGTTCATTGAGCGTTTCACACAAACAAATGTGTTACTTCACAGTTTTACGACACATTTTATTTTTTTTGACTTGCAAAATTATCTTTTAAATTGACAAACATCATATGTGTAATTCGTGGCACAATTCAAACGGGATCGAAAGATAATCTTTCTCTCTCCATTGACTTCAATGCATAACTTTTCCGAAATAAGGTCCCATGGAGGTCCACCGGAAGGGGAGGGACTTCGCCACTCTATAGTAACTGACATTCAAACAGAGACTGAACAGGCAGATTCGAAGGATTTATTTCTTTGGAAATGTTATTTTATTAAATCAAGTTTTTTTTCGGTAAAACTAATGAAAAATATAACAAAAATAATATTAAAAAAATATATATTTAAAAAAAAAATATTTTTTTTTAATGTTTTTAAATATTATTTTTTGGAATATCTTAGGCCCTCACAGAGGGCCTAGAGGGCCCTGACGGCTCGCCACTGCTCTGCTGAAACACACACACGTCATGATTCTGCTGAAACACACACACGTCATGACTCTCCTGAAACAACAACCCCCTCATTTACCCTTAACATCTAAAACTCCTTCAAATAAATCAGCGTGTCTGCAGACAGAGACCCTTCAGATGAGATAAGAAGTTCTTTATTGATCCTAATTTGGGGAAATGTTTGTGTTGCAGCAGAAACAGACAAGGCATTGTTCAATAACAATTAAAAGACTAGAAATAAACAATCCAAAATGTAAACATCTCAAATAGAAATAATGGTAACAAAATATAAAGCAGGATATTAAATATACGTGAGAGGAAGGGAATATTAAATACAATTGGACCTTTATTTTGAGAAACTGAAGCCCTTGATACATTTGCTTTCTAGCCCCTCTGTTGCACAACATTAACACTTTAACAGATGCTCTAATGTCTGACTGTTGTGGGGGTCAGTGAACTCACCTGAGGGACCGTGCCCCTAACGAGCGCCGGGACGTCGTCTTTACTGTAGCCGACGGCCGAGAGCCCGTCTTCCACCTGGAGGTCGAACAAGAAACTGCGCAGCGTGTCAGCCAATAGGGGGCCGGCGTCTTTCATCTTCACCTGCCGAATATCTGCACCTGAACGCACCACACACACACAGTCTGTCACTGCACCTGAACGCACCACACACACAGTCTGTCACTGCACCTGAACACACCACACACACACAGTCTGTCACTGCACCTGAACGCACCACACACACACTCTGTCACTGCACCTGAACACACCACACACACACAGTCTGTCACTGCACCTGAACGCACCACACACACACACTCTGTCACTGCACCTGAACACACCACACACACACAGTCTGTCACTGCACCTGAACACACCACACACACACAGTCTGTCACTGCACCTGAACACACCACACAGTCTGTCACTGCACCTGAACGCACCACACACACAGTCTGTCACTGCGTCTGAACGCACCACACACACACAGTCTGTCACTGCACCTGAACACACCACACACACACAGTCTGTCACTGCACCTGAACACACCACACAGTCTGTCACTGCACCTGAACGCACCACACACACAGTCTGTCACTGCGCCTGAACGCACCACACACACACAGTCTGTCACTGCACCTGAACACACCACACACACACACAGTCTGTCACTGCACCTGAACACATCACACAGTCTGTCACTGCACCTGAACGCACCACACACACACTCTGTCACTGCACCTGAATGTAACGTGAAGTGAGAGAGTGAGCAGGTGAGAGAGTGAGCAGGTGAGAGAGTGAACAGGTGAGAGAGTGAGCAGGTGAGAGAGTGAGCAGGTGCGAGAGTGAGCAGGTGAGAGAGTGAACAGGTGAGAGAGAGTGAGCAGGTGAGAGAGTGAGCAGGTGAGAGAGTGAGCAGGTGAGAGAGTGAGCAGGTGAGAGTGTGAACAGGTGAGAGAGTGAACAGGTGAGAGAGTGAGCAGGTGAGAGAGAGTGAGCAGGTGAGAGAGTGAGCAGGTGAGAGAGTGAGCAGGTGAGAGAGTGAGCAGGTGAGAGAGTGAGCAGGTGAGAGTGTGAGCAGGTGAGAGAGTGAGCAGGTGAGAGAGTGAGCAGGTGAGAGAGTGAACAGGTGAGAGAGTGAGCAGGTGAGAGAGTGAGCAGGTGAGAGAGTGAGCAGGTGAGAGTGTGAGCAGGTGAGAGAGTGAGCAGGTGAGAGAGTGAACAGGTGAGAGAGTGAGCAGGTGAGAGAGTGAACAGGTGAGAGAGAGTGAACAGGTGAGAGAGTGAGCAGGTGAGAGAGTGAACAGGTGAGAGAGTGAGCAGGTGAGAGAGAGTGAACAGGTGAGAGAGAGTGAACAGGTGAGAGAGAGTGAACAGGTGAGAGAGAGTGAACAGGTGAGAGAGTGAACAGGTGAGAGAGAGTGAACAGGTGAGAGAGAGTGAACAGGTGAGAGAGAGTGAACAGGTGAGAGAGTGAACAGGTGAGAGAGAGTGAACAGGTGAGAGAGAGTGAACAGGTGAGAGAGTGAGCAGGTGAGAGAGTGAACAGGTGAGAGAGAGTGAGCAGGTGAGAGTGTGAGCAGGTGAGAGAGTGAGCAGGTGAGAGTGTGAGCAGGTGAGAGAGTGAGCAGGTGAGAGTGTGAGCAGGTGAGAGAGTGAACAGGTGAGAGAGTGAGCAGGTGAGAGAGTGAGCAGGTGAGAGAGTGAGCAGGTGAGAGAGTGAACAGGTGAGAGTGTGAGCAGGGTGAGAGAGTGAGCAGGTGAGAGAGTGAGCAGGTGAGAGAGTGAACAGGTGAGAGTGTGAGCAGGTGAGAGAGTGAACAGGTGAGAGTGTGAGCAGGTGAGAGAGTGAGCAGGTGAGAGAGTGAGCAGGTGAGAGAGTGAGCAGGTGAGAGTGTGAGCAGGTGAGAGAGTGAGCAGGTGAGAGAGTGAACAGGTGAGAGAGTGAGCAGGTGAGAGAGTGAACAGGTGAGAGAGTGAACAGGTGAGAGAGTGAACAGGTGAGAGAGTGAGCAGGTGAGAGAGTGAGCAGGTGAGAGAGTGAGCAGGTGAGAGAGAGTGAGCAGGTGAGAGAGTGAAGCAGGTGAGAGAGTGAAGCAGGTGAGAGAGTGAGCAGGTGAGAGAGTGAGCAGTGTGAGACAGGTGAGAGATGAACGAGATGAGCAGGTGAGAGAGTGAACAGGTGAGAGAGTGAGCAGGTGAGAGAGTGAACAGGTGAGAGAGTGAGCAGGTGAGAGAGTGAGCAGGTGAGAGAGTGAGCAGGTGAGAGAGAGTGAGCAGGTGAGAGAGTGAACAGGTGAGAGAGTGAACAGGTGAGAGAGTGAACAGGTGAGAGAGTGAGCAGGTGAGAGAGTGAACAGGTGAGAGAGTGAGCAGGTGAGAGAGTGACAGGTGAGAGAGAGTGAGCAGGTGAGAGAGAGTGAGCAGGTGAGAGAGTGAACAGGTGAGAGAGTGAGCAGGTGAGAGAGTGAACAGGTGAGAGAGTGAGCAGGTGAGAGAGTGAACAGGTGAGAGAGTGAGCAGGTGAGAGAGTGAACAGGTGAGAGAGAGTGAGCAGGTGAGAGAGTGAACAGGTGAGAGAGTGAGCAGGTGAGAGAGTGAACAGGTGAGAGAGAGTGAGCAGGTGAGAGAGTGAACAGGTGAGAGAGTGAGCAGGTGAGAGAGTGAACAGGTGAGAGAGAGTGAGCAGGTGGAGAGAGTGAACAGGTGAGAGAGTGAGCAGGTGAGAGAGTGAACAGGTGAGAGAGAGTGAGCAGGTGAGAGAGTGAACAGGTGAGAGAGTGAACAGGTGAGAGAGTGAGCAGGTGAGAGAGTGAACAGGTGAGAGAGTGAGCAGGTGAGAGAGTGAACAGGTGAGAGAGAGTGAGCAGGTGAGAGTGTGAGCAGGTGAGAGAGTGAACAGGTGAGAGAGTGAACAGGTGAGAGAGTGAGAAGGTGAGAGAGTGAGACGGTGAGAGAGTGAACAGGTGAGAGAGTGAGCAGGTGAGAGAGTGAACAGGTGAGAGAGTGAGCAGGTGAGAGAGAGTGAACAGGTGAGAGAGTGAGCAGGTGAGAGAGTGAACAGGTGAGAGAGAGTGAACAGGTGAGAGTACAGGTGAGAGAGTGAGCAGGTGAGAGAGGTGAGCAGGTGAGAGAGTGAACAGGTGAGAGAGTGAACAGGGAGGAGAGGTGAACAGGTGAGAGAGAGTGAGCAGGTGAGAGAGTGAACAGGTGAGAGAGTGAGCAGGTGAGAGAGTGAGCAGGTGAGAGAGTGAGCAGGTGAGAGAGTGAACAGGTGAGAGAGTGAACAGGTGAGAGAGTGAGCAGGTGAGAGAGTGAACAGGTGAGAGAGAGTGAACAGGTGAGAGAGTGAACAGGTGAGAGAGTGAGCAGGTGAGAGAGAGTGAACAGGTGAGAGAGTGAGCAGGTGAGAGAGTGAACAGGTGAGAGAGAGTGAGCAGGTGAGAGAGTGAGCAGGTGAGAGAGTGAGCAGGTGAGAGAGTGAGCAGGTGAGAGAGTGAACAGGTGAGAGTGAGCAGGTGAGTACCGAGGATCTCTGCTGCCTCCAGGTGACGCTCCGGACACATCGGGGCCGTGAAGTTGAAGACAGCCGGAGCCGTGAGAACCACCGAGAGACCGTGAGGCTGAGAGAACGAACACACACACACACACACACACACACACACACACACACACACACACACACACACACACACACACACAACCACACACACACCACACACACACACACACACACACACACACACACACACACACACACACACACACACACACACACACACACACACACACACACACACACACACACACACACACAACACACACACACACACACACACACACACACACACACACACACACACGTTAAGCACTAATGTCGATAACCCTCCTGATGTGAGGTGCAGTTCCTCCACTCACCACCAGGGCGTGCTCCACGCTGTAACCTTTAGCTGTGTGTGTCTTCACGTTCCCAGCGATCGGATAGGACATCCCGTGACTGCAGACACAACACGCTTTCATTAACACTGAACAGGTGTTTCAACAGATCACCTCCAGAGGCCTGCACTACGAAGCCAGAGGCCTGCACTACGAAGCCAGAGGCCTGCACTACGAAGCCAGAGGCCTGCACTACGAAGCCAGAGGCCTGCACTACGAAGCCAGAGGCCTGCACTACGAAGCCAGAGGCCTGCACTACGAAGCCAGAGGCCTGCACGACGAAGCCAGAGGCCTGCACTACGAAGCCAGTCCAACAGACCCTGGATCTCTCTGAGTTATCTTACCTAACCCAAAACAAACGCGCTCTCGCTAAGCGGTCCTACGACGCTGGTTATCAACACGGTAACTCAAGCCAGGGTTTCTCTGTCCGGCTGAGTGCGCGTTCACATGAAAGGGGTGGTATCTGGAGCATTCGACCAATCACAAACATGGACAAGCGTACTGACAGCGCAGCGTCATACTTCCTGAATGAAAAGTGAACTTTAATATTAGTCAAATATGAAGAAGTTAAACTTTAAACATCCATGACTTAAACACTTTATCCAGGATCAAAGCCACATAGCTGCAGCTGCAAGGTGAATACAGCTGGTAACAGAGAAAGTGTTTGAATGCGTACATTAACAGGTTTATGATATCACTGACCCGTCTAAGACACGATCTGACTTTAATTACATTTGACTCGAGTGTTTCGTCAACTTAATGTGTTGCTTAAAATAATACTTCTGCATACAGTATGTGACACTGTGAGTGTTGCACGGCCAGATACGGCTCAGCTGACTCAGATAAGGAAATATATGATACATTATGATGTGATGAATGATAATAGGCGCGTTCATACCAAGTACTTTGCCGTACTCAGTGCTGGCACTTATTACCCCAGGGCACTAAGTACAGATCGCGTTCACACCGGAATAAGTTCCCTGAGGGAAGATTACGCAAATGAGCCGCTGACGTCACTTCTTCTTCTTCTGCTCTGGGTTTACTGGCAGGCCGCAAACAACTTCACGGCGTATACTGCCACCCGGAGTCCCCGGCCGGAAGTCCCCGGAGTTGGGGAAGGCTTCAGTAGAAGCTGCTGGGACTCCCAGCAGCTTCTACTGAAGCCTTCAGAGTAAATCGCCAGAACGCCGACACCTCCTCATCTCCACCGCTCCCATGTTTTATTTTGTGTTGCCATAATTAGTTAGTCTCTCTGCGTTTGTGCGCTGGGCGAATGCTAATGCTAATAATGCTAATGCCAGGATAATAAAATGGCGGCTCTACAAAACATTTCAGAGTTGTACGAGGCGTGGTTTGCAATTCGCCCAGCCAATCAGAACTGGGGCACTTTTTCCCCCAGGAAAGTACCATCTCTCAGCAGGCACTAAAAATGGGGGTAAAAGTTCCCGAGATGAAGTGCTCTTTTTGGTGTGAACGCGACATAAGGGGTACTAACAGAACTAAACGCGAAAAGTACGGTGAAAAGTACTCCGGTGTGAACGCGGCTATTGGGACACATCGACGTCTGCACTCAGTGCCGCGGACTGTACGTAATGTTACTTTGATCCGGTTACTTGTGTTGTGGCAGATATTTAAGTAATGGGGGGAACTGAAAGGCTCTTACCGTACTGGTTACTTTGCAGCCCGGACATTTCCCCCAAAACACATTTAGACGTGATCGCAACACAGAAGTACCTTTCAAATCCCATCATTTTTAAGAACTTTTAATTTGTATTTGATTATCAAATGTAAGACTTTTTAAGACCCCGCGGGAACCCTGTGTTCAGCATCAGTTACCATGGAGATCTACCCCGCTAAGAAGAGAACCAGCGTCGTAGGACCGGAAACCCAGAGTTTACCCTGAAGTCACCTCGCTAAGAGAACATCCTGCTTCGTAGTACAGGCCTCTGCAGTTTAAATGGATCTTCAACCAGATCTGATTTTAAATGGATTAATGAACAGATTTGATCTCTCAGGTTATTTGATGTATTTCTCTTCTCTCTCACCACAGATGAACTCCGGCGTTCCCGAAGCCGATGCCGGCGAACACGCTGGCCAGATGCATGCTGGACCGCGCCTCCAGATCCTCAGGGTCCCGCACCGCGCTGTCAACAAACAAACAAACAGACAAACAAACACACACACACACACACAGACAGACAAACAGACAGACGACAAACAAACAGACACACAGACAAACAGACACACACACAGACAAACAGACAGACAAAATGTTGAGATTTTTTTGAAAACTATCAAAGATTTTGAGATTTTGGGTAACATTACAAAATGTTGAGATTTTAGGTAAAAAGTCAAAATGTTGACATTTGACAAAAGTCAGAATTTTGAGAAAAAATCTGAATTTTAAGACTTTGAGAAAAAATCTGAATTTTAAGATTTAGAGAAAAAATTCCTAATGTTGAGATTTTTTAGAAAACTCAAAAATGTGGAGATTTTGTGAAAAATTCAAAATGTTCAGATTTTTTATGAAAAAGTCCAAATGTTTTTATTTTTTTTTAAAGTCTGAATTTTTTTGATTTTCAGAAAATAGTCATGATCTTGAGATTTACAGAAAAAAGTGAACATTTGGAAATTTTGGGGGGAAAAATCCAAATCTTGAGATTTTAAGAAAAAGTCAGAACTTTTCAATTTTCGAAAAAAAAAATTCAAATGTTGAAAGTTTGAAAAAAAAAGTCAAAATGTTGAGATTCTGAGAAAAGCCAACATTAGATTAGAAACTCCCTCTGAAGGGAACAGGGATTTACAAAAGGACTGATCTGGGGTTCCTCAGGGCTCCTGTTGGGATCCTCTGGTTCTGCGCTCACCGCTTCATGAACTGAGCGACGACGCGCAGGGCGTGGCGCGACCACACGTCGCTGATGGGGTTGGAGCCCTGATAGGCCGGGCGGAGCAGCGGGTCGGGGGGGCACGGGCTCCTCTGGTGGTACGGCAGCGCCGTGTAGGACTCCAGAGCGTGACTACACAATACACAGTATCATCATTATTATTATTGTTATTGTAGTGTGTGTGTGTGTATCAGTGAGTGAGTGTGAGTGTGAGTGTGTCTGTGTGTGTGCGTGTGTGTGAGTGTGTCTGTGCCTGTGTGACTGTGCCTGTGAGTGTGTGTGTGCCTGTGTCTGTCTGTGCCTGTGAGTGTGTGTGTGCCTGTGTCTGTCTGTGCCTGTGAGTGTGTGTGTGTGTGTGTCTGTCTGTGCCTGTGAGTGTGTGTGTGCCTGTGTCTGTCTGTGCCTGTGAGTGTGTGTGTGTGTGTGTCTGTCTGTGCCTGTGAGTGTGTGTGTGCCTGTGTCTGTCTGTGCCTGTGAGTGTGTGTGTGCCTGTGTCTGTCTGTGCCTGTGAGTGTGTGTGTGTGTGTGTCTGTCTGTGCCTGTGTGTGAGTTTACCAGAGCACGTCGAAGCCACTGTTAGCAGCGACTCTCTCCGGCATGCTGAGAGTGTGCAGCGGATCCACGATGCCCAGCGTCGGTCTGAGAGCTCTGCTGGCAATACCTGCACACAGACAGCCAATCAGAGAGCTCTACTGCCACAGACTACTGCCACAGACAGCCAATCAGAGAGCTCTGAGTTGGATGTATATATATAAATATGTTATATATATATTATTATGTACCTGTCTTGGCCTTCAGAGGCTCGTAGTCGAAGATGGCCACGCCGGTGGTCTCGCTGCCGGTGCCGGCCGTCGTGGGAACTGAAATAAAGACGAACATCCATAACGGTTAATAAATATCTTGAATATGAAGTGAATACAATGAGTTCAGTCTCTATGAGAGTTACATATAGACATGTATTGATTAGGATAAACCCCTTGAGATGCACCAAGGGGGTCCTGACAGGAGCCACGTCTCACAGACAGACATGGACAAAATAACAGAGAGCAAAGCAGGACAAGCAGTCTGTTCAGTGAAGTAATCAATACAATCAATACGATGTGATAGACAGTGTCTGATCAGTTTCATCAATAACAAGAGCAGCTGAAAGTGAGGTCTCGACCTGCGATGAGGGGCTTCAGCGCTCCGGTCACCGGGCGGCCCTTTCCGATTGGAGCGTTCACAAAGTCCAGGAAGTCAGCGTCGGGGTGACAGGCGTAAAGATTAGCTGCTTTGCAGGTGTCAATCACAGAGCCCCCCCCCACCGCCACGTACACATCGAAGGAGTCGCTCTTAGCAAAGGAGATGGCCTCTTTAAAACTGACACACACACACACACACACACACACACACACACACACACACACACACACACACACACACACACACACACACACACACACACACACACACACACACACCACACACACACACACACACACACACACACACACACACACACACACACACACACACACACACACACACACACACACACACACACACACACACACACACACACACACAGTTTAAACCCCCTCTGACCCCCCAGGTATTATCAATTACCCTCAGATTCACCCCAGGCATCGATAACAATATCTGTTTTTTATATATATTCCATATTTTATTCCTGTGTAAATACTGCTATATTTTGTTATGTTATTGTTTATGTATGCAGGTATGATCACCCTCTGACCCCCCAGGTATGATCACCCTCTGCCCCCCAGGTATGATCACCCTCTGACCCCCCAGGTATGATCACCCTCTGACCTCCCAGGTATGATCACCCTCTGACCCCCAGGTATGATCTGACCCCCCAGGTATGATCACCCTCTGACCCCCCAGGTATGATCACCCTCTGACCCCCCAGGTATGATCTGACCCCCAGGTATGATCACCCTCTGACCCCCCAGGTATGATCTGACACCCCAGGTATGATCACCCTCTGACCCCCAGGTATGATCACCCTCTGACCCCCCAGGTATGATCTGGCCCCAAGGTATGATCACCCTCTGACCCCCCAGGTATGATCACCCTCTGACCCCCAAGGTATGATCACCCTCTGACCCCCCAGGTATGATCTGGCCCCCAGGTATGATCACCCTCTGACCCCCCAGGTATGATCACCCTCTGACCCCCCAGGTATGATCTGACCCCCAGGTATGATCACCCTCTGACCCCCAGGTATGATCACCCTCTGACCCCCCAGGTATGATCACCCTCTGACCCCCCAGGTATGATCCCCCTCTGTCAGCTACCTGGTGTCAGTCGGCTCCACCCTCACGCTGTCATAGACCCTGAAGCGCACCCCGTTGTGAGACAGGGACTCCAGCACTGCTTTCACTGGAGGGAGGCGGGACAAGTTGCTGTCCGTCATCACACACACATTACGGGCCCCCAGGTTCCTCACGTCCTGCAGGAGGAGAACCAGGGAGAACCGGAGGAGAGAGAGAGGAGAACCAGAGGAGAGAGAGAGAGGAGAACCGGGGGAGAGAGAGAGGAGGAGGAGAACCAGAGGAGAAGGAGGAGAACCAGAGGAGAACCAGAGGAGAACACATTCACATTACTTCACCAAGATTTCTGATGACGTAGTTTGGTTTTTCTGCTGGTGTTTAATGTTTCATATGTTTCAACTATTATGATGTGATGATGATGATGATGTGATGATGAAATGATGATGTGATGATGAAATGATGATGATGTGATGATGATGTGATGATGTGATGATGTAAGATGTGATGATGTGATGATGAAATGATGATGAGATGATGTAAGATGAGATGATGTGATGATGTGATGATGTGATGATGATGTGATGATGTGATGTGATGATGATGTGATGATGATGTGATGATGTGTGATGATGATGTGATGATGTGATGTGATGATGATGTGATGATGTGATGTGATGATGATGTGATGTGATGATGTGATGATGAGATGTGATGATGATGTGATGATGTGATGTGATGATGATGATGTGATGATGATGTGATGATGATGTGATGATGATGTGATGATGTGATGATGATGTGATGATGTGATGTGATGTGATGTGATGTGATGATGATGTGATGATGATGTGATGACGTGATGTGATGATGATGATGTGATGATGTGATGATGATGTGATGATGATGTGATGTGATGATGATGTGATGATGATGTGATGATGATGATGTGATGATGATGATGTGATGATGATGTGATGATGTGATGATGATGTGATGTGATGATGATGTGATGATGTGATGATGTGATGTGATGATGATGATGTGATGTGATGATGTGATGATGATGTGATGATGTGATGATGATGTGATGATGATGATGTGATGTGATGTGATGATGATGTGATGATGATGTGATGATGTGATGTGATGATGATGTGATGATGATATGTGATGTGATGATGATGTGATGATGATGTGATGATGTGATGTGATGATGTGATGAGATGTGATGATGATGTGATGTGATGATGATGTGATGATGTGATGATGATGATGTGATGATGTGATGATGATGATGTGATGATGTGATGTGATGATGTGATGATGATGTGATGATGTGATGAGATGAGATGTGATGATGATGTGATGATGTGATGAGATGTGATGATGATGTGATGATGATGTGATGATGATGATGTGATGATGTGATGATGATGATGATGTGATGATGTGTGAGTGATGATGATGATGTGATGATGTGATGATGTGATGATGATGTGATGATGATGTGATGATGATGTGATGATGATGTGATGATGATGTGATGATGTGATGTGATGATGATGTGATGATGTGAGGGTGTGATGATGTGATGATGATGATGTGATGATGATGTGATGATGTTTTTATTTTATTTTTTTTATTTTGTATTCCAGTCCTGTATGTTGCATGTTTGTATTTGATTGTATTGACTTGTTTAAAATGAAATGTGTCTTCAGGCTGACGTACAGAATCTGTCAGGACTTCAGATGAAAAATAACTCTGAACATTTACGGAAATGTTGATTAATGTGCAGTCCCTGTTAAATACATGAATAAATACAAATGTAATGATGATGATGATGATGATGTGAAGATGATGTGATGATGATAATGATGGTGTAATGATAATGATGATGTGATGATGACAGTTTGGTTACCATGCCGATCTCTCTGCTGACTCCCTCTCCGTATCGGATGTTGGAGCTCGCCATCTGAAGGAAAAAATAATTAATAACAAAATAAAATGTAAAAACAGCTTTTCTCAAAAATGTTTCTGAAAACGTCAGAATCGAGAAATGTCTAACAATTTCAGAATTCAGAACATTCTGAAGATCTCCTCGTGTGTTCCTCCAGAGGGAGTTTTCTCGCTCTGTTATCAGCATCATGTGCCCCTTTTAATAACCCTGGCCTAAAGCCTCGTCTGCATGTTTTTACTCATCAGGTGCTGAATGAATGAATGGATGGATGAATGGATGAATGAATTAATGGATGGATGAATGAATGAATGAATGGATGGATGAATGGATGAATGGATGGATGAATGAATTAATGAATTAATGGATGAATTAATTAATGGATGAATGAATGGATGAATGCAGAATTATCTGAAAAAAATCGGAAAAAAGTCAGACATTTTAATAAAAAAAAGTCCGAAATTTGAGATTTTCACAAAAGAACATCTTATATTTTATTTGCTGAATTGTGATAATAGTGAAAAAGTGGAGATTTTCAAAAAAGGGTCAACATTTTGAGAAAAAAATAAAAATGAGATTTGGAGGGGGAAAAGCAGAAGTTTGAGATTTTTTGAAAAAAGTCTGAATTTTTTGATTTTTAGAAAAATGTAATTCTCTATTAAAATGACAATGATGATGTCATACTGATCACAAGTTTTAATATCAGTCAAAAGACGTGCATATTGTTTTTAAGATTTCAGCCTAAGACAATGAAATGTAATTATAGAACTGTGTAAATATGTATGAATGACTTGTGTATCTGTTCAGGGACTCCCTAAAGAGACCCCTTTATGAACCCGTTGTGCTGGTACCTCGAAGGCGTAGTCTGTCTTCCTGACGGTGCAGGCTGCGGCTCCGGCACCTGATGATCACATTACTACATTATTCATATATAACTGATGCTGCACATCTGTGATTGATTGTAATGATGCATTGGGTTTAATAAAATGTTCATCCCAAGTCAAAGTGATGAGTTTAGGTCCAAATATGCTCACTTTCATATCAGGAAATTCAAGCTTTCCTCTTGAACAATTAACAGATGTTCAAAATAGTTAATAATTCTGAAAACTGACTAATCTTCAAAACTGTAATCCAGAGTGGTAATTATTGAAAGACCAAACTCCCTCCACGCTGTCCTGACTAAAGGTTATCAGCGAGTGTGTGTGACTGTGTGAGTGAGTGAGTGAGTGTGTGAGTGAGTGAGTGAGTGTGTGTACCTTGGTGGAAGGTGTTGGAGTGCGCAGGACATCTGCACCTGTTCACAGAAACATTCACATTTCACTGTTAACACTGGTTCTCCTGCTTCACATTGTATCTGTTTTAATGCACATAACACACATTTAGTGAGAGCACATTACCTCGTATTATAAGTGTATAATAATGAAGAGTGTATCAGAGATAAATGAAACCCATTCAAAGTACCTCTTATGATATCATAGCAGGTTAAAGGGAGCTGTTGGAAAGGGGTCTCTCCTTATCTGGAATAATCTGTATGGTCTTTTAGAGGTCATTCACAACCTGAAGAAAAACAGCTTGTTGTTCTGAAAACGTAAAGCTTTCAGGAACTTGAAGCAGCATTTAAAGAGTGACACGGGTCACCTGTGTGATGGTCGTGTTACTAACAGCAGTTCTCTCAATGCAACATATACACAAGAGGTCATGACAGGACACTTAGTTAATACCTGGTTAACAGTAGAAATAACGCTTCCCAGGGTTTCACACTGAAGCAGGATTATCAAAGACTTTATACTGATTTATAAAATAGTATTATATGTTTTGCTCTGTGGGTTAAACACCTTGAGTTAATTAAAAACCGTTTTAATGGGTCCGTTTCACTAATGGACTCTAGCCTCAACTTCTCTTTACTTTGTAACATAAAACGTCTTAAAGTAAAGGAATAACGCTTCTGAGAATGCCTTACCAATGCCGAATCATCAAATACTCTCTAATGATTTAAAAAGGTGTTTAAATCAACTTTGTGAAGTAAAACACCTGACATTTTAAGACTTTAAAACGTCAGGTTTGTGAATGGAGTCTTGCGTAACGTTCTCTGCTCTGAATGTAAAAACCCGTTGAAAGGTATAAATAAATCTCCCCGGAGCTTCTGACTGAAGCCGAATTATCAAATCCTTTGTTATGATTTAAATAACCAATTTAAATCAACTTTGCAAAGTAAAAATCCTGAAATATAACAAAAAGAGTTTAAAATGGTCAGATTTGTGAACGGACTCTGGCGTCAGAGGGGAGGTTCTGTGACGTCACCAATGTGTTGTTTCTCAGGGTAAACTTCAATCTTTAGAGAACGTGTGTTAAACTCACGCGGCGCGCTCGAGCTGCCTCATCAGGTGCACCACTCGGTCTCGTGCGGCCATCTCTGCAGGGGGTCAGGTCAGGTGAAAAGTGATCTGCACGAGCTGCTGCACCGACAACTACAATGACGTCAAGCTCACTGTAGGACCGGTATCACTGCTTCCGGATCCGCTTTTCAAAATAAAGCACGAAATCACTGTGAAAATAAATCTCTTCTCTTTTACCTGAAGTGTCATAAAGGTCACAATTAATAGAGATGTAAGTAAGGTACTTTAATAACAGTTTATATGTGTGCGTGTGTGTGTGTGTGTGTGTGTGTGTGTGTGTGTGGTGTGTGTGTGTGTTGTGTGTCTGTGTGTCTGTGTGTGTGTGTGTGTCTGTGTGTGTGCGTGTCTGCGTGTGTGTGTGTGTGTGGGTGTGTGCGTGTCTGTGTGTGTGTGTGTGTCAGTGTGTGTGTGTGTGTCAGTGTGTGTGTGTGTCTGTGTGTCTGTGTGTGTGTGTGTGTGTGTGTGTGTGCGTGTGTCTGTGTGTGTGTGTGCGTGTCTGCGTGTGTCTGTGTGTCTGTGTGCGTGTCTGCGTGTGTGTGTGTGTGTGTGTGTGTGTGTGTGTGCGTGTGTCTGTGTGTCTGTGTGTGTGGGTGTGTGTGTGTGTGTGTGTCTGTGTGTCTGTGTGTGTTTGTCAGTCAGTGTGTGTGTATGTGTGTGTGTGTGTGTGTGTGTGTGTGTCAGTGTGTGTGTGTGTGTGTCAGTGTGTGTGTGTCAGTGTGTGTGTGTGTGTGTGTGTGAGTGTGTGTGTGTGTGTGTCTGTGTGTGTGTGTGTGTGTCTGTGTGTCTGTGTGGGACCATTGAGCGCTTTGTATACACTTAAGCTGATTGTCGGATTCAAGATGGCGCCTGTGTCGGCTCGCCGCTCCCTCAGCTCTCTGCCTTTAGCTATCCTGTTTTTGTTTTATGTTTGTCAGAATGTCTCTGCTCTGCTCGTCTACGATCGCCAAGCTCTCCTCCACCTCAGACCCTCACTGGAGTTTATACTGCTGCCCAAACCTACATCTGGCAACCATAAATCGTCCCCCCCCCCCTCTACTGTCGAATATCCCCACTTACCTGCGCTGGTCGCCCTGCATCCTGCCTCGCCGAAAGCGCTTTCGACGACGGGGAAAGCGTGGTGGTGCACTGGTCCATCTGAAGGCATACCTGACGGCTTCTTCTGGGACTTATCCACGCCTCGGATGTCATGGCCCTCCCGCTGCACGCCACGTGAGGGATCGGTGGATTCGCCCTGTTTTTCCGGAGCTGCGGACTCTGAGGGGCCCGCTGGCAGCTCCTCCTGCCCGACTGACTGCTCCCGGCCCGCGCGGCGTTCAACACGCACATCTTCGTCAGCTGAGACGCACTACACCTTCGGCAAGCCCGGAGCGAAAACTTTGCATGGCTTTGCTAAATGCTAGGTCGATAGCAAACAAAACGTTCCTGCTAAACGACTTCTTCACCTCTCGTGAACTGGATTTTATGTTCCTGACGGAGACCTGGGTCCACGCTGGCGAGTATACACCGTTCTCTGAACTTCTTCCTCCTGACTGTACATTCTTCAGCTCCCCCCGTGCCACTGGCCGTGGTGGGGGCATAGCATCAGTGTTTAGAGCTAGCCTTCAATGCCGATTGCTTCACCCTGTATCTAGCTATGCTAGCTTTGAGTTGCAGCTTTTTGAACTGAACCCGGCCTCGCCGATACTCTGCGCAGTCGTGTGTCGTCCGCCAAAGTGTAATAAGGATTTCATAAATGACTTTTCTGACTTTCTGTCCGGGATCATGGTGAAATATGATCGTGTTTTGATCTCCGGAGACTTCAATGTCCATGTGTGTTGCGAGTCCAAACCTCTGGTTAGGGACTTTTTAAATCTCCTTGATTCTTTTGGTCTCGTTCAGTCCGTGGCCCAACACACGAAAAAGGACACACTTTGGACTTAGTATTATCGTTTGGACTGTCTGTATCTGTGGATGAAATATGTGCAGCAACGCGTATCTCAGACCATTTACCGGTTCTGTTTACAACCTCCATCCCTTCCGCAGGAGTCGAATCACGTGCCCCGGCGCGTCGTCTGCGTTCGATTAACCCCTTGACTGCCTCACAGTTCTCTGATGTTTTTAATGCTTCTCCGATCTGTAAATTAGATGTGAACTGTGCTTTTAATGCTGATGAGCTTATCTCCATGTTTGATTCGACATGCACACTAATACTGGATTCTGTTGCTCCTTTTACGCTTAGACGCACCAAAGTTCTCTCAGAGCCGTGGCTCAATGACTGTACTCGTGCTCTCAGACGCGCTTGCAGGCGTGCAGAG